TATATATATATATATATATATATATATATATATATATATATATATCAGAATCAGAATCAGTTTATTATCGCCATGTCAATGAACGAGGTTCACAAACTAGGAATTTGCTTCGACATTCATTTCCTGCAAACTGTAAAACATGCTGTCACTTTTTATTTAACAGGACACTAAGCCTATTCTAGCACTTTCAATATATTAACGATCTGTGACTTCACCTATATTGCATCAAATTGCAAATTATTTCCGAATCAGACTTTTGTAATTTATTTAATGTAATTCCAGTTGTTAAATTAAAAAAGTCAGTTTTTATAATTTTGGACGAATTTAATTTTTGGAGTACTTTATTGATGGTTCCTAAATATTTGTTCGGTTCAGAGTATGATTTGTTTTGAATATAATTAGACTGTAGTGTATAATCAGCTTTTTTGCAGGTGACAGCAGGTGATGTTTGTAGTTTTACAGGTTTGCTGGCTTGTTTAAAGTTAACTAACCTAGAAAATAAGAATTTATCTCACTTTTCAATGAAGCTAAAAAACAATATGGCTTGCTCTCAAACAGAACAACTAGTGATTAGCACTAATTAGGAGATCATTAATATAATATATTAATGGTCACTTTATTGTAGAATAGGGTCATTCAATACTTTTTTTTGTTTTACATCTAATTAAAAATAGAACACCATTGTTTACATTAACAAGTTAACATTCATAATAATAATAATAATAATAATAAGTATGATACTTTTACTTCCTACATAATACTTGTTAATAACTAGCTAATAACTACAGCATCGTAATGCAAAGGTTTCTTTTTTTTATCTTAATAGTAGCTTGTACAGGTGCATCTCAAAAAATGTGAATATTGTGAAAAAGTTCAATTCTTTTGTCAGTAATTTCATAAAGTGAAACTCATTTGTAATATAGATTCATTTCACAGAGTGAAAGGTTTCAAGCCTTTAATTTCTTGAAATTTTGATGATTATGCCTTACAAATAAATAAATAAATAAAATTCTGTGTTTCATAAAATTTGAATATTCCATATCCAGCTTTTGGTACTTTTGTCAGTGTGGGCAGGAGCCAAGTCCTGCTGGAAAATGAAATCAGCATCTCCATAAATCTCGTCAGGAAAAGGAAACATGAAGTCTCTAAAATGTCCTGGTAGATGCTGCGTTGACTTCAGAAAACACAGTGGACTAACACCAGTAGAGGACATGGACCCAAACCATCACTGACTGTGGAAACTTCACTCTGGACTTCAAACAATGTGGATTCTGGGCCTCTCCACTCTTCCTCCAGACTCTGGGAACTTGGTTTTAAAATGACATGAAAATGTAATTTAATCTGTAAAGAGGACATTGGACCACTGAGCAACAGTCCAATTATTTGTCCCCTCAGCAGGTAAGACTCTTCTGTTGTTGTCTCTGGTTCAGGAGTGGCTGGACTTGAGGAATGAGTCATTTGTAGCTCATGTCTAGAAGTTAGTCAGCTGATTAGGGTGTGACACCAGGAGTTTACAATAATGAACCTTCACAATATTCTAATTTTCTGAGACACTGATTTTATTTTTTTCATTATTTGTAAGCCCAAATGATCAAAATTACAAACAAAAATAAAAGTAAAAGCTTGAAATGTTTCACTCTGTGTTTAATGAATCTATGGAATATTTGAGTTTCACTCTCTCAAACGATTTGACAAAAAAGCTTAAACTTTCTTACAATATTCTAATTTTCTGGGACGCACGTGTACATGCAGAGGACACTCACAGTGATGACCCCTTTTTCTTGCATTCTGCCCGGAGTGTCATGGAGGTCAACAAACTGCACTGCCACCTGGTGGTAGATGGGTACCAGAAATTCTTCCCTGGCTTTGAGCTTCGCCTCCAGCTCTTTGCCTTCTTTCTGAGACAGCTCTGGAGAAGCTGAACAAAGTATTAAATAATTTCAGCAACAGTAGAAATTAAGAGTTATCATGACACATACAAATGTTGTGGTTTGAGGAAGATTTTTTTACCGAGCTGCTCAACCAGGCTGGCATAAACCGAATCCAGCCTTCTCATGGTCTTCAGAAGGTCCTTTCTCCTGAATTTAATTTCCACTGTGCCCTCGGCCTCCAACACCCCGCCTCTGAATATGAAAATATAACAATTGTGAAACAGAAATAACAACAAAATAACCACATGTACAGTGTGTGCTCCATTCAGGAAATGTAATGAATGTACCTGCTCTCCCTGTCAGCATAAAGCTCCATGCACAGAGGGTTGATGGTGGGATCTATCACTACCCATGATCCTCCTCTCAGCTCAGCCTGTGGTGGTATATACACAAACACCGGCTGATGGAAACCATGTAGGGCATCAACAATGTAGGCTCCAAACTTCAGGACTTGGTCATACATATCTGAGAGAAAAGAAGAAAAAAACTTTTAGTGTACTTTGTTGTTGTTGAGGCTCAGACAAGCAGGGGGGTTTCCACAATAAGAGCTAAAATCAGCTGCAGTGATAATCAGGGACAGAATCATAAGTAAAGACAGAAGTACAAAGCAGCTGTTTTATTTGCTTATTTTGCTTCAGTAAAAAGTGGACCGTTTGATATTTAGTTCAGGAATAATATAGACTTAAGATTATAAAAATGCATAAGTGTGAATGCTTCAAGACTGCACATTATATTTAAGAATCATTTTTATTTAACATAAGTTAAGTTTCCTACCTTTCATTCCCCCAGAGAAGCCCCTCCAGTTGGCAAACACCATGAGAGGCAGGTGTTCACGGTTGAAGTCACAGATCGCCTGAGCGGTTTTAAAAGCAGAATCTGGAAACCACACCTGACCAGCCTGTTGCAAAACCTGGTAAGATCACACAAAACCATGCTAAAGATATAAAAGATGATTTTCAAAATAAAATCAAGGTTTAATAAATGGTAAATATGTAGAGGATCTCACTTTAGATTCAGAGTCCAGATTTGCAGGATCTGCAGGGATTGTGAGCTTGACTGTTCGTGTTTCTACTGCAATGACACCAAGAGGAATTCCTCCTAACCTGAACCATGCAACGACAACAGAACAGCGGTGTTAGTGAGCCATTTGTGTTTAGATTCACCAAGTCTACACCTGACAAGTTTCACATCATTTTACCTTGCTCTTCCCACTACGACCGTCTGAGCCCAAGGCTCCATTATCTCCATGAAAGAGCCGTGGTCAAAGAATCCACTCTGCCAGGCGCCTTTCAACACTAACAGTTCACATGAAAAATAGTTTTATTTGGTTTATTTCTGACATGAATTATATGCATAGTTTGGATTGTGTAACTCACTGGGGTGCGGTCTGCCAGCGAGCATCCAGCGGGGATCATAGGGGGCTTTTGTTGGAGTAAATTCTATCTCCCTGTCTACTGGATCTGTAGTGGCTATAATGGGAACAGGGGAGTGTACGTTCTGCAGGAACATAATGAAACCTCAGTAAACCAGTTGGAGGCCCGATGACATTATTGAATATTTAGATATAGACAGCAAACGTCCAACAGAACCTTTGGCATGTATGAGAGCCACTGAAGGATGGTGAAGACTCCCTCAAAATCATCAGGCACAAATGTATGTGAGACTCCATTATTGTGCATGATCTGAACTCCCCCCAGCTGGTTGTTGGAGGTATAGACATCTCTGCCCAGAACCTGCACAGATACCAGAACTTTAATGAGCAAGGTGAAGAACTGAACATTAATCATTGACAGCATGCTATGTCTTCAGCACTGAACCTGATTAACTTTACGTATTTATTGTGTCATTTATTTTTCCCAAGTCAAAAAGGTGGCACTCACGTTTGTCTTTTAGCTTTGATTTTATCATTACAATAAAATCAACACACTCCTTGCTAGTCTCTGATGTGCGCAGGAAACTTTGTAAAAATCACTAATAAGCTGCATTCAGGAAAACTGACAAAAAGATTGATAAAATCAACAGACCTTGTTAAGTGCACTTGCTCCAGTCAGGATGATGTGAGAGTTCTCCACCTGGATCACTCGCTGCCCCAAACGGACCAGATAGGCTCCAATTCCAATGGCACGACACGTCACCTGTAGGAACATGCAGCAGCTCAGGTGGGAAACTGAGTCTTTGCCTTGTTCCTCATGCCAACAAAAGCCAGATCAACTTTCTCACCATACTGATGGTAATAATCTCTTGATAGGCCTGAGAAGACTCTCCTGCAATGGTCCCTGAACCTCGCAGGTTCTCAACACCGAGACCTTCATCTTTCCCAATAATGTCAGTGATAATGTACCTGTCACAGGAGAGAAAGATTAAGAAAGGACTCATCCTCATCATTTAATTCAGTTCTATTCAGGTTTTTCTTCTAGATATGTTTCTATCAGGCTGCTGTATGTTTGTTTAAACAAAGATTCAACAAATTCATACATACATGTATACAAAAGTTTCCTTTTTTTTTTTTTTTTAGTAAAATTGCATTTTACCTCGACTCTCCTCCCTCCTCTACATGGCAACAGTGAACAGAGTTGGTGGAGCTGATGCGGGTGTAGTCTTGTGGTGTCAGGTAAAGGTACCTAAAACCCTACATAAGGACGTTTGAAATACATTTTAAAAGGCTAAAACTACATTTGTTTCCATCTACTTCCACCAAAAATAAAATCAAAGTCAAGAAAAATCTGTTTCTGGGGTCACCTTGTAGGGATCAGAGGGGTCTATCCAGGCCACCTGAAACATGTGTTTGACCTCTTCAGCGAGCCCGATGCGAGCTCCACTGTTGGCTGCGATGTAGATGCGGGGGATACCTTCAGCCCGAGCCAATTCAGACGCCCTGAGGAACAGTTCATCCTCCTGAGGACCAAACGACCCAATCATGTGAGTGATGTCATTACAGATGACAATAATCTCTCTGCCCACTGGATACTCTGGAGTCTTCATCTTCATCCTGAAGGCAACCATCCCCACCTGTTGAAGAAAGCTAACTGTAAGTGTCTGTTACTTCTCACTAAGAATGCAGCAGGTAATGAAAAAGTTTCTAAAAGCACCTTACATCATTGTCTGCAGGCTGGCGGTTCATCTGCACAAGTCGACCTTCTGGGTCTAGAACAAGCTCCGTGCACATCAACACATCATTAGGGCACTTGTCCCCTGGACCCCACAGCTTAAAAAGAGCCTGGAAAAATAATTTCTGAGGTAAAAAATATGACACATTAAAGACAAAAATAAGGGCAGTTCAGTGAGTTAGAAGCACCTGTCTGAACATCTCAGGGAAGTCATAAACATATGTAGTTCCCAGAGACTGAGCCTGAAATCGTTTGGCCTGCAGCAGGTCTTTGGTCACATAAGGAGTATTGATCAGCATACCATGTAATTGACCCTGCTTGTCTCCGTATGACTGGAACATAATCTGAAACAGCAAATAGGAAGGAATTATTTTAATAATGTCCATACCTATAAAGCACACTGGATAATCTGTGGAAAAATAACACATTATTCATAATCCAGTTCTAAATAGCCACTCAGTTTCCTGTTCTCACCTGCCGAGAAATAGGATCAGTGACCTCTTTATACAGACTGATGTCCAAATAATAGCCGGATTCATTCGTGAGAAACAGGCGAATAGGAATGGCATTGCCAGTGGGTGTGAGACGAATGTTGATCTTCAGCTCAGCCTGCAGGACCCGCAGCTTCCAAAGACGACTGCCATAACGCATCACCATGGAGCGGACCGATTCTTCTATCTGTTGACACAAAAATCAGGGCAACTCAAAAGAAAGTTAAAGAGGGAACTAACAACGCAACACCTACGAAATAATAAAAAGCACAATCATTTGTGTTATGCCAGAATACTGCATGAACAAGGACACACATAAGAAAAAAAACGTACCTACACTGAACAAAAATATAAACACAATGCTCATGGTGGCAGTGTGGTTATGGCATGTGGGTATTTTATGGACAACGACCAAAAGGACCAGTGTGGTTACACGTGGTCTGTGTGGCTGTGAGGCTGCCAAATCCTCTGAACACGGACATTCCTGCAGTCAGCATACCAACTGCACGCACCCTCAAAACTTACATCTGTGGCATTGTGCTGTGTGATAAAACTGCCCATGTTAGAGTGGCCTTTTATTGTGGCCAGCCTAAGGTACACATGTGCAATAATCATGCCGTCTAATCAGCATGTTGATACACCACACTTGTGAGGTGGATGGATTATCTCAGCAAAGGAGAAGTGCTCACAAACACAGATTTACACAAATTTTGTGAACAATATTTGAGAGGAAAAGGCCTGTTGAAAAATGGGAACAAAAACAACAGACATTTATATTTTTGTGCAGTATATTTACAAATAATAACATCTGCTATTGCTGTTTAGGCAACTATTACAACAGGTCATTTGTTTTGCATAAAAATAGTAGAAGAGATGGCTGCACACTGACTTTAGACGGGTCCATGATGACAGTGGGGACAAAGTTAAGGAAGATGTGGTTGCAGTCTGTGCGGACGCTGGTGTTACTGAAGGCCACCTCCAACTCATCCATGGCTTCCAACAGAAGACGTTCACCTTCATTTTGAAGGTATTCAAAGGAAGCTTCCTAAATTATGAAAAAGGGAGCATGTCATATATCACTATGTTGTCTCCTGTAATTAAGCCACATGCAAGATTTAAAAAAAAAAAAAAATTTTTTTAAAGACATGCATTCAAACAAAATTGTTTCCTTTTTAAAAATTCCGATCTTTGCATTTGACTTCTACCTTTGTAACGAGATCGGAGTGGCGGATAATTGCTCGGATGAAAAAGCGGTAGTCTGTAACTTCAGCTCCCTCTTGGACACGAGCGGCACCCAAGTAGAGGTGCATCTTATGGTTTGCACAGGGAATGGCGGTCAGATCGAAATTCCTCATTCTGTTGAGCTCCAGCTGAAACGCTAAAGCTGGCTCCAGATTTCTGTAAATTCGATCCTCTTGGAACTGAGAAGAAACACAGAATAGGACAAGGTGAAGAGGATGGGGGCTCATCATCTCTTTAAACTGCTACATTGAGTCTTACAGCAGTGAGGTAAGGAAAGACTGACCTGATCACGAGCTCTGAATGTGAAGAACTTGGGAAATTCTCTCTAAATAAAAAAAGCAAAGGAATAATTAATGTTTTAAGTTAGCAACAACAGAACTTCTGAAATAAAATATACACATTATTATTATAAACACAATCAAAGGACTGCCATATACGAAAAGAAATTCAGGTATTAACATAGTATTAGTATTAAAAAAGTGTTTACAAAAAGGCTATGATTGCTGAAAAACGTTTACCTTTTGTGCAATCAAAAATGTGATTCTTCTGATTCCATACTCAAAGAGGATGTCTTTCTGTAGATTTTAAAAAAGTATGTTAAAAAATATATTTAAAAGATGTTAGCACAGAAATAACATCTGACCTTTGACTGAGCGAAGGCAGTGAAGGCTTTGACCAAGGCATCGTCGTCCTCTGTGTCCGCTGATTTTATGGATACGTTAATGATGTGGATGGGGTTCTCTCTTGTGTTCTGTACAGAATGAAAGAGGAACTTGTGACTCCAGACTGTCTGTTATATGAAGAGCCTATTTAATGTTGAACTTGTCCACAGCAGCAGCCCCACCTTCATGTTCTCCTCCTCATAGAAACTCGAGCATGACTCCAAGAATGGAGCGCCCTCCAAAAGTGGTTCAGCGAAACTCGACAAAACCTCATCAAAATTCCTAAAAAAAATAAAAAAAATAAAAAATAGGTGTGAAACCACTTTTAAATTTGAACTGCATACAGTAGATTTATTTTTAACTAGAGATATTATCAAGAAAAGTCACCTTTTGAAGTCCTCAAAACACTGGAAAGCCACCATAGCTCCCATGCGTTGGCAGGGTGGAGAAAAGGCTCCATCCATTAACAGCTCACTGCCCTGCCGATTGACGTTAAACTGGCCTGATCCACTCAGTGGCACTGGAAGCCTGAAGAGAAGCCAGAACAACTGAATACTCTCAGAGAGAAGAAAATGTTCAAATAAATGTGCAAAGATTCATACAGGGAGCAATTAGAGCAAGACTGCATATATCTGTTCAATAAAGAACAAATCAGACATTCATCATAAATTACATACAGAAGATAGCAGGGGCGTCACAAACTCTAAAGAGTTCCATGTCAAGTCCATAACTAAGGTAACACATTTACAGTTTATATAATCTGCCATTTGAGAAACTTTACCATTATAAAAGGTGGCATCTTTGATTATCTGGTCTGAAGACTTGCGGATGAGCAGTGGTCTGATTTTGTGATTTTCAGCTTTGCATACGGAGTTTAAAATGATCTCATTTGCACCGATTGTTTATGCAGGCACAAACTACTCAATTCCCTTTCAAAAAGAAGCAGAGAATTTCTAAAATATAATCTATAAAACTGCACTGTACATCAAAACCTAATTAAACTCATAATGCCCAGGAGAGGTGTGTGTAAGGGGACTGACGTTTTCCTGAAAACTGGACATTAATAGTTTTTTTAAAAAGTCCCCACATCATGAAAGAGCTCAGAGAAGTAGCCAGGCTGATGCTTTTAAACATCATTGGCATTGTTAGATGTACCGCTAGTAAAAAACAACAGTTAAATGTGAAATAGCTGTTGTTATTGTTTATTGTGATGCAAATTATTCAAAATAGTTTCAAGATTTTCATTAAAAACAAGTTTAAAATATAGAATATGTATTATTAAAGAAGTTTTTTTCCTTTAAGTTAGAAATATTCACTTTTCTAATACTTACATACGCAAATTGTTTCACTTTTGTTTCTTTGGCTATAATAACAATGTATTACAGTTAGCAAGTAAGTTATCCGTTTTTTTAAATAACTTTATAACTGTACTCTAAAAAGTTTTATACAAAATATCAAAAACCTAAAAAAAAAAATACATTTTATATTAAAAAAAAAATTATATATATATCTCTGGGGGGCTGCAGTAGCTTGGTGGTCAGTGCCATGGTCTTGTAATCCTGAGGTTGCAGGTTCGAGCCCAGGTTGTGGCAGGAAGGGCATCCAGCATAAAACAATTGTCATATCTTTCATGAAGGTTTTCTTGTTGTGGCGACCCTTGAAGGAAGCAGCTGAAAGAAACTTACATTAGAGTCATGAGTCTCTGAAGTCTTAAATGACGTTGAGCTGAAGTGTAAGGCAACCCATACCAGGTTAACAGCTGATTCATGTGTTAAAATTGAAATAAATTAAGAATCTTTATCCAGAAACGATTGGCATGTGATTTGTTTGTGATTTCCATTAAAATATAATGCAGGGCAGGAGAATTCAGGTTCCTTATTCAGTAGCAATCACTGAAATCTCAGGCTTTTTGTTTTTTTCAGTACGCCTATATAAGGAGCACAAAATGATAACTTTTACACAAAAAGAAGCAATTACAGGACAACTAGTGAAGCACAGCTTTATATTGAGAATTAGAAATAACTTGTTAGAGGAATCCTGAAGCAAATGTACGAAGAAGAAGCGACACGGTGCATCCGGCATGCATTGTTGAGACAGACGAGGTGCTTTGGCTGGTTGGGAGGAGCTTTACTCTACCTGTTCAGAGTAGGGCTGCTCCCTCTGCAACAAGATGATTGACATGTGAATATTAGCAGTGGTTTGTCAAATTGTTCTTCTAACTTTGTGCATACTGATTAGATTCAGGGACTTTCTTATGTCAGTGAGAATGAGAGTGAACATCTTGCATTCTAAGTTAGCCATAAGCCGTCACAGCAGCAGTGTAAAGGTCACTCACTACCTGCACCATTAATGCAACTGATCTATGATTTAGCTTTACACATACAGCAGAAAAATGTCATTAAAACAGAACATTGAGAGGGGAAAAAACATTTAAATGATAGTTTTAAAGCCTGAATTTCTTGAAAACTTCTACAAGATGGGGTGTTTTATATATATTTTTTAAAAAATCCCTTAAAAGTAAAATATTTCAACCTATGTTCAGGCATTACATCAGTATAAACATCTAACAAGAGACTCTGACAACTGGGTTATATATCTGTGGTTTGGCCTGAGGGAAGCCTGTCACCTGTTTGGATGTGATGATGGCAACATGAACTGGAAGTCTACAGCACATGTCCCATCCTGTAGCTGATGGTGCTGGATGCTGTTCAGCTCATAGGCAATGTAACCCCTGCGAACATACACCTGGAAGCACGGGAAACAGCACAAGTAACTAATTCAGACGTAAGATCCAACAAGAGCGAGAGTAGGATCTGTTAGTTTAACTACACTAAACATACCTCCAAGGCAGCCATACAAACAACTTGATTGGAGTGATAGAAGAAGTTTGGCAAAACATCAAAAATGGAGGTTTCAGACAGAATGAGTTTCTGCACCAAATAAAATTAGATTTGTTATTTGATGTTCAAGCTGCCAAAGAGAGAATAGTTTCTACACACTAAACTAACCTTCAAGTTTTCAGGGCAAAACTGGTGGCCGTACATGTCGATGGCCGACAAGAAGATGGACTCCACCTGGTTGTGTCTCAGTTCATACGATGGCAAATGGGAGGCTATCAAGACCTAGGAGATATTTATTAAATATTACAACTAGATTAGATATTTTAGGGTGCAAAATTAAATGCACAACCAAGATTGTACCTCATACTGAGTTGTGCAGGTGAGCTTACCTGTCTGGCTCTTAAAGCCACCTTTGAGTTTTCCATCTTGCTCAGCTGTGTGAGTTCATTCAGAATGACCATGAGTTCATCTGCCAGGGTGGGATCACGTCCACACAGCTGGTCCTACAGTCACAAACACACGCTGCTTCAATACGTTGATCTCAAGACTGAAGCGAAACAAACCGTGTATTTCTAGAGGCCATTTCTTACAATGAGCATCGTAACCAGGACGTTCTTCTTGAACACCTGAGCGTGAGAGAAAATGTAGTCGAGCACAGGACTCATGTCAGGTTTGTGCTGCTCTCTCAGGTTGATCACACACTTATCATAGTGGGCTGTTTAGGAAAAACAGTGTGAGCATTTCAGCACAAGTTCAGCTTTAGTAATACAAAAAAACAAAGTTGCATTTGGGATATGCAGAAAGGCATGAGTGTTACCTTGCTGAAACTGCATCTCCACCTGCAGGTAGCGCTTCAGCACATCAAGAACCACAGACTTCATGTAACCACGGATTCCACTGCGGTATCTGAGCAAAAGACAACCAATCATGATAATTAGCACAATGCTACAATCATACTTGCATCAGATTGCAGAAATTGTAAAACTAGGATTAATACAGATACAGAAACCTACAATGCTTTCTTTCAGTTTATTTATTTTCTTTTTTTTTCTATCAAGAGAAACAAGCAACTCTTCAGTTGCTGCTTGTTTTTTTAATCAGGTCTCTCTTGTAAATGAGTCCTCGAGGCTCAATGGGATTTACCTGTCTAAATAAAGGTTGATTGATTATTTTCTTTGAATAATCTGTAGCTTCCGACTGACATGAGAAAACAAACATGAGTTAACTGTGTCGTCTGCTCCATTTGCTAGTCACTGTTAAGATTCTGAAAGATTTTAATAAGCTCATAAAAAGCTTAAACATTAACAGATGAGAACAAAACTAATTTAAAAAAAACCTGAGACACTAACCTCTGCACCAACTGAACGATACTTTGAGTGTTCATGAAGAAAACCTCTCGATCAACCTTCCTCTGTAACGTTGCAGCATGGCTGTCTAAAATGTTTGCAATCTGAATTCAAACAAGTAAAAAAAAATGTAGATGAATAGAACTAGTGTGTTAAACAGCACATTGTTGTTGCACAACTTTTACCCTTTGACTGGGGAACTGGCACAGGACAGAGGTGATGTTGCTCGCATACTGAGCCATGACTTTACGGATCTCCTTCTCCACACAAGGTGGAATACGACTGGCCACGCTGGTCATGATCTCCTGGAGCTCTAGCAGAGGCAGCGAGGGGTCCCTCAGAGTCTTCATCAGAGTCACCACCCATTCTTTCAGCTACAGAGAGGAAAATTTAATTAATTAGATAATCAAACTCCAAGATGCTCAGTAGAATAATCTTTTGCTGTAAAGGGACTGATATGTACTTTGCTGCTAAAGTAAGGCTCTTCAAGGCAGTACCCATCCATCACTCTGAGCAGATTTTCAAGCACACTGTGAAACACCTGATGAAGCTTTTCTCCAACCATGGGAAGTGGTTGCTGGGGGGGCAGCGTACAAGTATTAGGTTCCACCTAAAGCAGGGGCCAAAATGAAAACAAACAATGTCATTAAAAACAGTAAAAAAAAAATAATAATAATAATTTTAGTCTTCTTTGTGGGAAAATCACTACAACTGCACTTTTACACAAAGATGCAAACACTAAAGTAATTCCAGATGTTTTATTAATAAACCTGTTTTAACACTGTTAAAGTAACATACCCTGTGTATACTGCTGGGATCATCTAGGTCCATACGTGCCATGACACAGCCAGGCTCCAAGACTGCCCCAGGCCTTTTGACAAAGTGTATGTAACCAGACTGCTGCACGGTGAGCGTCATCACCATCTTCATCACCTAAACCCAAAGCCCAATCAAATTACATATTTAAAAAAGGCTTTCAGACACAAAAAGACAAAATTTGTGTATTATTTGCCGTCGTGATAAAACCCTCGAACCTCTATCTCTGCATAGGGCTCTCCTGCTTTAATGTGATGTCCATCCTCAACCACGTACTGCAGCAGCTTGCCAGTAGAGGGTGACCTCAACACTGTGGGATCTCTCTCCTTCTCAAACACACAGGTCTTGTTGCCAACAGTAATGCGGTAGCTACAAGGATAAAATAATATGAAAGTGTGAACCTAAAGTCAAAAAGGCAAACTGTCCAATCTGGATTTTTCGCAGTTAAAGCCTTGCCTGTCTACTTCCTCCTTCATGTAGGTGGTGTGGCTGCTGCCATTGTAGCACAGCAGGAGGCCGCCGTCACTTAGCCTGTGGACATCTATTTCAATGTGGGAACCATTCATCACGATGACATACGTAGTTGGGGATTGGCGAGCCACCTAAGGACAGCAACAGTGATAGTTTACTACATGAAAAAAATTATTTATTATATAACCAAATTAAAGAAATGGCCTTTTCTGTGAAATCTAGTCACTGCTGAGTGTTGAATGACTTTGACTTGTTAAAGCTAAAATAAGCAGAACACTAACAGCTAATAGCTAAAAAGGAGAAAAAGGCTAAATAAAAGCCAAGAGGTACAGCACAGGTTGAACAACTGGGAGATAAAGTTAGAGAGGGCAGACTGAGATGATTTGGACATGTCCAGATGGTTTGGACATGTCCAGAGGAGGGACAGTGGGTATATTGGTAGAAGGATGTTAGAAATGCAGCTGCCAGGAAAAAGACAAAGAGGAAGGCCAAAGAGAAGATACATGGATGCAGTTATTCGAGTGGACATGGAGGTAGTTGGAGTGAGGACAGAGGATGCAGAGGACAGAGTGACATGGAGGAGGAAGACTCGCTGTGGAGACTGATGAAGAGGGAAAAATCGAAAGAAGAAGACAAGCCAAATGTAGCAAAACACTAGCTAAAAGCCAAAAGTAACAAAAAACACTTGCTAAATATAGCAAAAGCTTAGCTAAAGTTTAGCTAAATGTATGTAAAAAGCAAGCTAAAAGTTAAAAGAAGCAATGGCTAGCTAGAAGCTAAAAGTAGCAAAAAATAGCTAAAATTTGCAAAAGGATAACTAAAATCTAAAAGTAGAAAAGGAAAACAAACTTAGAGCAAGTATGCTGAAGCACATTAAAGAAACAAAATGTTTTTCAAGGAATTAAGAGCTCTTCATACATTTCTAGTAAATAAATTTAAATATTTTGAAAACTATGAAAGTTACAAAAAAACAAATGTCATATTCCATTTCCTAAATGAGTTATAAATTGGTGCAAAAAAAAATGCATGAATAAATAAAAATAAAAAAGGAAAACATCACAGTGAATGCTGACTCAGCATTCACACAACAAAAAGCAAGCATTAGGTGTCAAATACCTTAAGGCAGTATTTGACTCCTTCATATATCAGGTCCACGTTGACAGAGTTGAGTAGACTGTCTGCAGGCAGTACCTGACCTCTATAGTTTCAGCAGATACAGTAAATAATATGAACACACAGTAGAAAGATAGAGAAATGTGTTGTAAAAGGGGGGAGTTTGTCTACTGGCCTTTCCAAGGAATGCAGGAAGTCTGACATGCTCTTTCTGAAACTGGCATCTGCAACATGCAACGCCCCGCAGACGATGCCCAACATGGTATCTGGTCTCTCTGCCTGCAGAAGGTAAAACGGTCCTCAACTTATTTTGTGCAATTTTAATCTCTCCACATTTATATTCACCCATTCATCACACACTTAAGCACAGCTTTACACTATAGAACTTTTTATATTCTCACTCATACATAGAGAGGCATGTCAGTGGGGGTACAGTGTCTGGCTAAAAGACACTTTGGAATGTTGCAGGGGCTAGGGATTAAACCCCATAACACTCAAGTGAAGTACAACCACCATATCCACTGGGCTAAGCTGCTTCAAAGGAAGTATCAGGTTTCATTTTAGAAATTACAAACATTCAGCCCTTCAGCATTTGGCTGCATGATTTACTGTGCACCTTCTTCACTCTCTGACCTGCACTTTCTCTGCTATGAGGTGATCCAGCCAGCCGGTATCTGTGTCATTGTTTCTGAAGCTTTCGGTCTCAAGAATCCTAATGAGGTACTCAACCGTTGTCCTGAAGTCCCCTCTGATTGACAGCTCCTTCATAGCCACCACCATGTTCCTGAAAAACATTGGAAATATGACATCTAATAAACATAATCAATTACACAATTAATTTTTAGGGTTTAACCTCTAGTAGAATTAGTGCAAATACTTTATGCTTGATGTTTCACTGCTGTTAAACAGTTGGCACAACCCGGCATTTATCACTCCACATACTGTATGTCACAAGATCTGTCGTAATACTAACATTACGACGGATATTGCATTATTGATCCTTGACTCACATTCAAGAAAACACCAGATAATCTACGTATCTAAAGCTCAATCAGCAGAGCGTTGAAAAAAGACAAACAACACAGGCTTACGAGATGGCTTCTTCACGATTCTCTCCCCATGAGAAGCAGTGTCCAAACTGTGAATCTGCAAATTCATGAAGGCCACCAGCAGCCCCCACACTGAAATAACCCCAGACGTTTTTACTGCTGCGGAAGTTCAACTCCTGTACGGTGCCAGAGCTGGGCTTGAACCCCTGAGGTGAAGTCAGAAGACAAAATCACACATGGAAACCAGTCAGTTGTGTTTTGAGAGTTGATGAGATTAAAATCTACCTCATCTGGGTTCTCACTGGTGATCCGAACAGCTATAACATGTCCTCTTGGACTGGGAATGCATTCTGGGGATTCAAAGCTAATGATAGTGTCACTCCATGGACTTTCCTCATAAAGCAATCTTATGTCCTTAATTCGATGAAGAGGGATGCCCATTGCAATCTATTAGTGGAAACATGGAATTAAAACTATTAGCCACGCTGCAGGAAGAATTTGTACGTTTTCAAGTCTGCAACAAATGTTTACCTGAAGCTGGGCAGCTGGTAAGTTTACATCTCCAATCATCTCTGTGCACGGATGTTCTACCTGTAAGCGAGGATTCAGCTCTAGGAAGTGAAAGCTTCCATCTTCTGAGTAGAGGTACTCCACTGTACCTGTACTCACATAACCCACCATTTTGGCCATTTGCACAGCATACTGAAACACAATGTAAAGACAGATGACACAAAGTCTGTCCAAACCAGAGAAAATGATCAGCAGTTGGATTAAAAACCTGCACTACGGCAAACTGACCCGCTCCATTTGCTCTAAAGTTGAGGCGGGAGCGACGGTGGCAGGAGCCTCCTCTATGATCTTCTGGTGCCGTCTCTGGATGGAGCAGTCTCGTCCAAACAAAGAGATGGCATTTCCATACTCATCAGCTAATATCTGCACCTCAAGGTGCCTCGCATGCTGAGCCAGTTGCATGATGAAAATGGGTGATCCAGGGACCTCTGTCTGAACCTGCAGTTAGAAAGAATGCAAGAACTCAATAAACGTGTTCAAGGTATTCATTGACACAATGGAATAAAACAAACCTGTCTGAAGAAACTTGGAAAATCCTCAGAACTTTCCACCTTCCGGATGCCTTTTCCACCTCCTCCCTCAGAGGCTTTGATGACAACTGGATAACCAATTTTTTCAGCTCCCTGAAAACAAACAGAACACATTATAATTGTCAAAATATGTATAATTACTGAGAACAGTTAAAAAAAAAAATACTGCTTACAGCTAAACCCTCATCAACATCATGAACACAGCCCTTTGTGTAGATCTCCGGAGGAACAATGACTACGTTGCCTCGTTTTTGGTCCTCTTCAGCACAATCCACTCTCAGACCTGAGCACACCAGATGAGCACATCATGAACCTACCTAAAGTGCCCACAATGCCTCAAATCATCTACCACATGTCATAAGTGGGACCTTTGAGAGTGTGAACGTGTCATGAATCACCTGATCCGCTCCATGGTAGTGTGGGAATGTCAGAACTCTGAGCAACAATAGAAGAAGCTACTTTGTCTCCTAGAGCCCACATGGCTTTACTGGATGGTCCTGAGAGAAACAACAGGTTCTAGCTGATAATATGTGACTTATTAAATGTGCACAATAATTAATGACGTTTTCCAACAACTTTTACCCAAGAATGATATCCCTGCTTTGTTCAGGAGTTCAGGCAATTTGGGATTTTCAGATGCATGGCCCCAGCCGGCCCAAACAGCCTGTAAGAGACGTGGTATTATTACTGACTGCGGTTAATCAGCAAAACATAAATAATGAATGTTCGAACTTACAAGCTATAGCCTAGACAGAACAGGAAGTGTGAAATGTACCTGCACTGGGATTCTTTTAGCAATGTCTACTATCAGCTCTACGTTGGCATAGTTGTTATTGTTGGTGCCACCGGGCACAGGTACATAGTGGTCGGCCATTTTAATATATTCTGAAAGAGTAAAAACATCAACACAAATCATGTTTCATGACTCAGTCTGAAGTGTTTTCTTCTTACTTTAAAGTGCCCGTGACATCAATTTTTTGTAATAAATATGAAAGGATTTTTGGAACGATAACATTAAAAACATATTGCAAAAAAAGATTCACACTGCAAATTTACAAATTTCAACTGTTTAAGATGAACAGTTGCACAGTAACAGGAAGTTATGACAAAGGGGGACGCCTGTATGTGAACAGAGCATTGCTACAATGGTTAAGAACACAGACAGTAATGAAGAATCTGATGTTTCTTTACAGTATTTTTGAGTCACTATCAGAGAGAGAAAAACAGTGTACATAACATTGGTTCAATAAAAAAAAGTTCTCCTTTTTAAAGTGTTCCCCTTTGATGTCATTTCCTGTTTCACGTTGGTTGCACAAAGTTCAAAATAACATATGCCAGTTATGTGACAAAATGAGTGAATTCCTGTGCATCATGTCAGATTTCTGTAATATTAGGATGTTTTCTGCACATCACAGGTGTTTAACTCAAACAGGTTTGTGGTAATGACTGATAAGTTATAATATATATATATATAACAATTGCATAACGACCTGCGTTAGCTTTCAAGTCTTCAGGGGTTACCATGACAACAAATCGAATGGTTCTCTCGTTGCGGAACATTTCATAGGACCAGCGGCGGATAGAACGCATACACTTGACTGCAGCAATGCCATTATTAGCAATCAGGACCTGTCAGAGAAACAGAAACCACACAATTAAGACTCGTGAACAAACCAAACAATGGAAGCTGTTGCTGAGTATTATCCCTACCTTCTCTATGATGCGGCTGCCACCAAATCGTGTGACAAACTCAGCAGGAGAGGCCACAGTGAAGTCTCTCTGTAGATCCATTTTTCTATAATCACGTCCCTTTTTCACCAAGTGAGGACCAGACATGCTAGTCCTGCAAAGGAAAAATTATGAGTGATCATACTTCCCCCACGGCACAGCAAAACACAGTTACTTGAGTTTATTTTGTTCTGTTACAAATTAGCAAAAATGAATAATCCTGGGCAAATACAGCCTGAATATAATTCACCATGTTAGACCAAAGCAGGAAAAACAGAAAGTATTTTTCTGAAACCAGAGCGAAACAGCCACATAATAGTGCCAGTCTAAAACAGACACCATGATTGCAACAAGTGTATTACAGCAGTGATGAATAAAAACCCTCAGAGTGAAAGGTTAGATTCCTTTTGCAACATATAGAGACAAAGTGCAGAGCAACCCTCTTTGTTTCTGATCCTGTTTTTTCAAATGACACTTCAACATAACTGTATATTCACAACTAATCAGCAGCAGAAACTGAGTCTACAAACACTTATTCTATACCAGATGTTCACAGTCCTGGAAAAAAAGGTAAGCACGTTGAAATAATCACACAGACTGTACTTTCATTTTAGTTTTGCGCTGTTTCATATAACATACGCAGCTGGGTTAACAATAACTTTTGACAAAACGTACTGCTTTAGCGTTCAAACTTTTGCTTTTTACGACCAAATTTTGATGTCAACAACCGGTAATTAGCTCTCTTTATAAAAAGGAATAAACATCAAAAATAAAGTCTTCATGAAGGAAAAGTGAAATCATCATTGTGGAAGATAGAAAGAAGAGCACTGCAAGCTTTTTTAACACATAAAAAGGTTGAAAATAGGGGTGCACCGATAGTTTTCTGGCCGATCACCGATTTCTAAAAAGTCTGATCTGCCGATTCAGATCCGATAACGATTTTTGTTTTATAAGCGACACTGTCAGGTGTTATAAAGGTCACAATGCACCTTTAAATTTCCAACATTATTTTATTGAAAAACATTCCCTTGAGCAATATCCTAGAAACAACACAAACTTGTTATAACTGGCCATAATGCTCTGAAATATAAATGAAGTTCAGACAATTGTTAAAACTACAAAAATCGGTAAAATTGGTTTCTCATGCAAGTATCGGACGATTTCCAATTTCTCAAAATTAAGGAAATCGGGGCCGATGCATCAGCCGGCCGATTAATCGGTGCACCCCAAGTTGAAAAATACTAAAGTCAATGTACTAAGCAAGGTTCTATAGATAAGCATCCGAGGTAAAGGTCAATCCAAGCAGCTAAAACCAAAGCCAAGGGACCAAATTATACACTATTTAAATGAACTCACTTTTATCTCGTTGTTGCAAAATTTAAATGGTAAATGGACTGCACTTATATAGCACCATTCTATCATATCAAGATACTCAAAGCACTTTACACTTCAATCTGTGCCCTCATTTACCCATTCCTACAGAATCTATAGAATCTCTCTCTCTGAATCTATAGAGACACACATCACATTCATTCAGTGATGGGACACACATCGGAGGCAATGAGGGGTTCAGTGCCTTGCACAGGGACACTTCAGCATGTGACTGTTGGTGGAATCGAACCTCCAACTCTCCCACTGGAGGACGACTGCTCTAACCACTCAACCACAGCTGCACCTTAAAACAGCTGAATCCATAAGAAAATAAAACCAAATGTTAGTGATAAACCACCATCATTTGCTTTACAGCAGATAAAAACAAACGAGCAGACAAGAACACAGAAAGCAGTTGGCTGCAACATGACTGACATTATGAATCTCTAATATTTGAAAGAATAAACCCAGAAACAAATGAAAGAATAAACATCTCCTCCATGTTTACTACAAGAAAACTGCATGTACTTGCCTCCATTGCCCTCTTTACGTCTTCTTTCCTGAATACATTTAATGTCATAAACTCTGTCCCAGGTTAATAAAGACAAAAAACATCTGGTCTTGTGAACATTGCAGTGAATGTGCAAGACATATCAGAGCTGATGTGAACTTTAACTCTTGTCCTGTACAGCTCAGAGGAAATACAAGCTGATAACTTCTTGAGTCAGCTCAGGACAAGCAGCTGTAATTTTATTAAAACGCGCTGCTTATCATCATTATGCAACTCCACTGCAAGTCACTTTATTACTGTGCTGCTTCACAAGAACGACTCGTTTGAAAGCTATTTGATGTTTTACGCGTTTCCTTCGGTTTGTCCTTTTTTTTTTTTTTTTATTTCCTGAAAACAAAAAGCGAAGTCCACCCAAAGAGCCTTGTTAGCTAGCATGAAGTTCAGCCGCTACATCCGTCAGCTTCTCTCTCATGTTTTTTCTTCTTCGCCTTTTTCTGGTGAAACTTTCAGCTTGTTTTTTTTTATATATATATATATATAATAAGAAGAATAAAAAGTAAAAGTTTGTTCACGAACCAAACACCGCAGATATTTGAGTGTCTGGTTACACAGAGACGAATTGGAGGTCTTACCTCTGGAGATATGGAAACAAGTTGTTTCGCTCCATTTTTATTTGCTTTTTTTTTTCCGCTAAAGTCGTCGGTGGAAGTTCATCTGTGATAAGACCACATTAATAACAAAGAGGTCTGTAGAAGAAGCTGCTGCCTCCTCCATGTGCTGCAAAAACATCTAGTCTCTGACTGAACCGAAACCAAGAGGAAACAGCTCCGTGTTTTTCTGCTCTGTAGCTTTTTTCTTTTTTTTCTTTCCCCTCGTTTGTTTTTAAATCTGCGAGAAGAAAAACTTGAAGCTGATAAAAACAGGCTGCAGGGAGCCGTGACAAACCCGGAGCTTTAAGTTATGCAACACGGTGTTTACACTTGGCACAAAAACGTAAGGAAATGTGTGTTTGGTTGATTATTTATTGGTTGAAACAACTGCACTTAAGATTTCACCAATGGAGGACCAGTTTATTTTCCCAGTAACTGTTGCTACATTTGTTCAGAAATGAGCACAAAAACTCTTCTCCCATGCCCAACAGCTTATTTTGCTCTTGACTTTTTGTGTGTGTGTTGTTTATTGGCTTAGATGATTGAATTGTGAAGAAACAAGCCATATTGGCAATTTAATTAACAAGCAGGAGCCTGCATGTGGAAGAACCATACACAGCCACAACAACCCGGCACCTCATCCGCATGCTGCTCAGCAGCTTTTGTGATACACTGCTGTGAGACGACATCCCATTCTTCAACTGGTATTTGTTGCAAGTTGGCCAGTCATGGTTGTGTTGGAACAAGCGGCACACCCAAGCTGACACCAGAGGAGTTTAACAGGGCTGAGTTCAAGAGAGCAGGCCATCTCAATGTGTTCAACATAATGGTACTTCCTCCAGTTATTTAACAGTCAACAATGGTGTACAGTGCTGCCAGGTGAGAAATGTAGGATTATTGTAATATAGTCGTGATGAGTCCGCTTCCAGACCGGCTCTGCTTCTTCTTCTTTTCTTTTCCTCACTCATGGGGCGGGCGCAGCGGACTATTCAGCCAATCATGGCCGTTGTTCTGAGGCAAACGCATCGTAGATAACATTTAGAAAAGCACGATTGGCTGGAATTTCCAGCCAATCGTGCTTCTGTTTCTGGACACAGATGCCTTCAGGGTTCACAAAAAAACTCCTACAGACATTGCGACAGGCTGATGACAACCAATTACAACCACACATTCACGGAATGGTCAAATTATCGTATATTTGGCCTTTTTTGGGATTACTGATCGTACAGAGGGCAAAATTGTTGTACAAATACGATAATTATCGTACACCTGGCAACATTGATGGTGTACCACAAGGCTCAGTCTTAGGACCCACCCTCTTTACAATCTACATAGGTAACCTAGGTCAAAGCATCCTTGATGCATCCTTACATTTCTATGCTGAAGACACAGTCGTTTATTGTCGAGCTAAAACAGTTGATAAGGCTTTCCAGCTTTTGCAATCCACCTTTGACATCATCCAGTCAGATTTGTTCCGTCTCAAACTTGTCCTAAATGTTAACAAAATGAAAGGGATGCTTTTTTCAAACAGGAAGTTGGTCCCAGCAGTTCTTCCGCTGATTTTATCCTCAAATGGTGTCCCCATTGAGTTTGTTGATTCCTATAAATATTTGGGTATCTTGGTCGACTCACATCTCTCTTTTAAGCTTCAAAACCTAGTAAGAAAACTGAAAGTTAAACTGAGTTTATTTTTCAGCAACAGATCCTGTTTAACTCTGAATGCTAGGAAACACCTTGTAACTGTGACTTTCCTTCCCTCCATTGATTAGTGACATCTATATGAACGCTCCTACAAGCACCTTGCAGATGTTGGATGCTGTCTATCACGGTGCACTAAGATTCATAACCGGCTGTAACTACCGTACCCATCACTGCACCCTGTATTCACTGGTTAACTGGACATCATTAACTTCACAGACTCTCCCACTGGTACATTTTCATCTTTAAATCACTTCTTGGTCTGTTGCCTTCATACATCTCCTCCTACATGTCACTGCGTGAGTGCAGCTACAGCGTGCGCTCTCAGGAGATTATTACCTGCTGTCGTCATCACTCTTTGTTAAAGAAATCAAGTCTCTCTTGTAAATGAGTCCCTGAGGCTCAATAGGATTAACCTGTAAAAATAAAGGTTGAATTAAATAATCCCCTCCACTCCCAATTTCTGGAGATAATCTCAGATAAACATTGCTCTAGCATTGTCAAATTGGAGTATAGAGTTAATTATCACCAATCAGGCACCTGCTAGTCATGCAGTACCAAAAGGTCAAAACACGCAGCAAAACAATAATAAGCTGTTTGGCAATGGAAAATAAGATCTGGCAAGTTTTACCTGGGCACAACCCACATGCTCAGCTCTACTGCTCAATCCACAAATGTATTTTACTAACAAATGTGTACAATTCAAGGGAAAATCAATAGGCTTTTCAGTGTTATAAGGTTTATTATGAAGAAGAATTGTTACAACAAAGAAATAACCAAACATAAGTTTCTGCACTTTCTGTGCCGTTTGTTTTACCATTTTAAAAAAATCTACCTTCTACAACTGTTATAGAAACTTTTAAAAACTATAACCAAAATGTCTGAAATTTGTTTGAATGATGCCTGGATTGTTCTGAGGTGCAGGTGGATATGGCAAAAAATATAATAAAGTAGTCCCTCGCTACTTTGCGGTTCGTTTATCGCGGATTCGCTCTATTGTGGTTTTTCAAAATAAGAGTGGACATGACACACAATTGTCTGATCTGTTTAGGTATTTTTAATATACAGACGTGTGGTTTTGTATTAAAATAAAATGTTTCAAGGCCTTCGGAAATAATGATACATCCGATACGTACAAACCTACTTTAGATCTCTAAATCTCTTGTTGCAGACACAGTTGGCCTACCTTTTTCTCCTTCGTGATGATCCTGCTGACACACATCTCTAACTGAGCAAGTCCAAAAAGCAGCAGAGCACAGAGCTACGTGCACTAAACTCATTTTGCTCTCCATTGTGTAAAAGTATCTCATCTGTGCATAAAAAAAAATACAAACTTTCAAAACGAGCAAAAAACAGGTCAAACCGTTTTGAAGACCGTTTACAAGTCAAACCACCGATAGTTTTCAAAGTCACTGGCTGAAGCTCTTGTTCCAATAATAGAGCCGAGATGTTTGGCAGACCACAATAACACGGTCCGATGTAGTCAGGTGATAACACAGTGTGGAGGAGCAGCAACGCCTCTTTATATGACAAGTTTTAGGACAGAGAAATCAAACCCACAAACAAATCGGTTATAGAAAAAGGTTTGTAAGCTCAATCATCCAGATATTATTTCCCCAGAAAGCTTTTGTGCTTTATTTGTACCAACACGAAGCCGCATGTGGAAAACAGGCCTGACCTCAGACATTAAATGTCACTCAGCGGACGTTAGATTGAAATAGAAACCCTTACTTGATGACTGAAGAGCTGGGCGGTGTCGCTGTAGGAGACTCCAGCCCAGATTTTAAAGCAGAGATGAGTGGCTGAGCGTCATCGTCCGGAGGTTTCGTTACCATTACTTCCTCGTCAGACGAGTTATCCTCTGATGCTCCGAGAATAAACTTGAGGCGCTCCCTGGTTTCAGGTCCGGAGTCGTGCATTGGTGTGTTGGATATGAGGGGTTTCTGGGGGGCTTGCGGCTGCTCTGGGTTTACTTTAGAGGAGGCCTGTGGAGGATCACACTCCTCTGGTTTGACTGCACAGCCTGCAGAACCATTGGCCAGCAGATTGTTGTTCTCATTGTGATTTAATTTCACAGCGGCTGCTGACGGGGAATATTTGTCTGCACGAGGAGCGGTCTTTGAAGTGGACATGTCCTCCTCAGCTGCCTGGGAACCACAGCTAGACAGAGATTCCTCTCCTTTCACAGGCATTGCTACTGACTCGGTGTTAATTCTCCACAAGAGCACGAAGATCCACAGGATTAATCCCAACACTGCAAACTGGAGCATCTGCAGACATATTCTGAGAATGGAACAAGAACAAGATTAACGTAATTATTCAAGAGACGACAGTAACATTTTCTCAAAATACTTGAGCTACCTTGAAAAAAATTACTTTAAAGATAAATCTGCGTATGGGCCTAGAAAACTTCGAAACACCCATGCACTCATGTTCATGTGACCTGCTGAGTGAATAAAGGACAACTTCACTTAGAATTTTTTTTTTTTAATATATTTTTCATTTTTAGAATAAAAAACAAAAAAGGTCCCAGCAAACTGTATGCAGGGATCAAGAGAAGTGGTTTCCAACAACCTATTTTTGTCTCGGACAACCAGATCTCGCCTAAAGGTTGTTCCAACCAAGTGATATAGACATGGATTAAAGTCGTCCATTGCCACAACGGATTTCCGTCATTTTGACCATCACTGATGTTACATGGACTAAACTGATGCTGCTTTTATCAAATGAAGAAGCAGAGCCACAGTTTTAACCAATCAGAGCAGGGCAGGTCATGTTCTCCGATTCAAGGATACAAGGTTCTTTATTTGTCATTCGCATCATACGTGGTACATGTGGTGGAACGAAATTATGTACACAAGGTCCCAGTTACATCCAACAATAAAATGGAAAAAAAAAACAGCAATAAGATGAATGAATGAAGAAAAACATCAGCTAAATAAACACTAAGCACTAATAGCATAAAAACATTACGTCGAACAGCAGCACGAACATGAGTCTGTGTGAGCAGATGAGCACTCATGAACACAACATGAAACAGATCAGCAGCAACATGAAACAGATCAGCAGCAACATTGAAACAGATCAGCAGCAACATTATGTGATTTTTCACAGTGATTATCCTGGTTAGAGATTCATGAGTCTAACAGCTTCAGGGTAGAAGCTGTTCCTCAGTCTAGTGGTTCTACACTTAATGCTCCTTAACCTCCTTCCTGAGAGAGCGGGATAAAAAGTGTGTGTGCTGGGTGAGTGGGGTACTTCATGATGCAGGTGGCCCTCTTCCTGCATCTGGAGGTGTAGATGTCTGTGATGGTGGGAAGGCTGACTCCAACAGTCTTCTGTGCAGCCTTCACCACTCTCTGCAAAGCTTTTCTTTCTGCAGCTGTGCAGCCTCCATGACACACGTTGATGCTGGAGCACAGGATGCTCTCCACTGTACACCTGTAGAAGGAGGTGAGGACTGAGCTTCCCAGTCCATATCAGATACATGGCGGATGACCGCAGCGTCCCCAAGAGACAGACTGCATGTGAGACAGACTGCATATGAGACAGACTGCTGGTGAGACAGACTGCAGGTGAGACAGAATGCAGGTGAGACAGACTGCTGGTGAGACAGCCTGCAGGTGAGACAGACTGCTGGTGAGACAGATTGCAAGTGAGACAGACTTCAGGTGAGAAAGACTGCAGGTGAGACAGACTGCTGGTGAGACAGACTGCTGGTAGACAGACTGCAGGTGAGACAGATGGATTGATTGATGGGTGGATGGATGTATTGATGGATGGATGGATTGATGGATGGATGGTGCACCAGCACGGAGGAAATGTGCCCAGCGGGAGCCAGCCAGACATGGGAGGAATGTTCCCCACGAGAGGGGATCCTCCTCCGCCGTGCGGCCGTCCCTTCCACCAGGTTGAATCCCCCAGACAGACTACATGTGAGACAGACTGCATGTGAGACAGACTGCAGGTGAGACAGACTGCATGTGAGACAGACTGCAGGTGAGACAGACTGCATGTGAGACAGACTGCAGGTGAGACAGACTGCATGTGAGACAGACTGCATGTGAGACAGACTGCAGGTGAGACAGACTGCATGTGAGACAGACTGCTAGTGAGACAGACTGCACGGACTTCACCCGTTTACAAACTTTCTTTCTGTTGCTCGATTACCGTTTTGAGCTACTTATTTTACTACCTGCAGTTTGTAATCTACAAAATATGATTTTCTGTTGGGGGGCATTTTACTTGTGTTAAGTTCATCTCAGTTGTCCCCAAGTAAATGTTTGTGTGTGTGTGTGTGTGGGGGGGGGGGGGGGTAGCAGGGTGAAGGAACAACATATAAAAGCCTAGAGGGCCCTCTAGTGGCTGCAACTGGTAATGTTTACTGGTTCATGTCTATGAATGAACATTTCAAGCGTCAGTCAACAATTGCATTATGAATATGGGAAAAATAAATGTATTAGTCGCTTCGGTGTATAATCACATGACTTGCAAATTTATACAAAAAGGTGCGACTTATACACCGGAAAATACGGTATTCATTTCTTTTTAATAGGAAGGACATCTCTCAGTTGAGCTATTAACTTCATCATATACCAACGGTGGCACAGTTTGTAGAGCTGTCGCCTCTCAGCGAGAAGGTCGCCGGTTCAAATCCCGGCCCGGGACCTTTCTGGGTGGAGTTTGCATGTTCTCTCCGTGCATGCGTGGGTTTTCTCCAGGTACTCCGGTTTCCTCCCGTCCAGGGTGTCCCCCGCCTCTCACACAGTGACTGCTGGATATGGGCACAAGCGACCCCGGTGACCCGAAAAGGAAGAAGTGGGTAAAAGATAATGGATGGACGTTTTAAATACCACAGCATCAATGGATAACCTTGATAGTGGCTAAATGAGTCCCACTGCAGTTGTGAGGTGTGATGTGTCCTTGAGTCCAGTGAACTGAGAAAACGTGACTGGATGTAGCATTTGTGTCTGTTTGCTTTTCTAATCTGTAAAAACTGCCATCCAGGAGATCAGAGGTCAGAAACTCTCAGACACCATGTATTCTGGGTACCAGGAGATTTTAAAAAAATCCTCTCTCTTACCAATTCAGCTGCTAATAAGAATTTGCACTTGTTTTTTCTTTGCAAAGTCCAGCAGCAGGACATGACAGGAGGCATTTCCCAGCCAGAGTCCATTATTAAACAGGCTGCTCAAAACAGCTGACATGAGCCGAGAGTGGCTGCTCCATGTGGGCTAAAGGTCAGCACGAGGGAGAGAAAGCAAGAGAAACATCCATACAAACAGCAAACACTCATTAAAAACATTAATTAAACCCATGCAGGTGTGCAATCTGTGTACAAAGATAACGATTTCCTACTTAGATTACAAACTAAAGGTTTGTTTTGGGTGTGGGAAAAAGGTATTTGTCCTCAAAGCAGATCTGATGGGTTTCTTTTTTGTGTGTGTGTCAAACTGTTAAAAAAAAAAACAATGTTGACACGGCTGTTTACAGTTTGTGATTTAGCTGAGCAATAAAAGTGGATAAATAAATACTTTAGCTCCATGCTGACCTCAGCCGACAGCTAAATGTGCACAATAACAAAAGGCTTTGAGCTGCAAAGTGACCGATATTCACACAACTCGTATTTTCTTTATAAAAAAAAAACCTATTTAAACTTCGCGGAGCGTCATTTCAAAACGCAAGCAGCTCTGTTTGTTGTCAGCGCGAGACGAACCGTTGACTGACATTTTTCAGTCTTCACACAAAGCTCAGCTAAGCTTTCATTGTGAATTAAAAAGCATTTCTTCCTGCCTAACTGGCCAAATAAACGAGCCGTGCATTCAGAGAGCGCCGCTGGTAATCTCCATGACGGTTTGAATCATTTTAGAGCGTGGAGGAGCAGCAAAATGTGGACAAAAACACCTACCACTGGTGCGGGCGGCGTCATCTTGTATCCGCCGACAGCAGCGCCTCCTTCTACTGAGCGCGATAGTAAACATGAGGGAGGAGAGTCTTAAGCTCCGCCCACGGATCTTACAAAGATCAAATGCGTGCAAGATGTTTCACCCAATCAATTTAATTAACTAAAAGTGAAACGGGACGGATGTTTTTAAAGAGAACAATCATATTGTTCATATGTTGGCAACAAATTTTAAAACTGTGAAGTTCCTGCTAAATTCCTAAAAAAATTAAAAAATCAGCTTCAACTTATCCTTTTAGCTTAAAAAAAAAAGATCAATAAAGAAAACTATTATATTTTGAAAGTTATTTGCAGTCCAGCAGGCCTGTCACAAAAATTTTGCTAGGCGATTAATTTTCTCAGAAATTATTGCAATAAACGATAATATTGTTTGATTAGTCATTGTCAAATTTAAGGAGAAATGTTAATTTGTTTTGTGTGTAATACATTTTTGACCACCAGATGGCAGTATAAGACAGTTTGAACCCAAGGATGGATAGTGAGGGAGCAGCAGCGTGTCTCTTTAAGAAAAATGGGAGGGAGGCCCCCTGGTGACATGGACTGTCTCTCTTAGGTTCTCAAAATGGCGGATGGTTGGTGTGGTTTGAGCTCTTTAGCATAGCATTTTTCACACAAAGCTTTTAATTTAAAAATCAGTAAACAAATTTTCAGCTTCTTTTTGCAGAGAAAAACTTTTTACACAAAGGCACGGGTTTCAACTGTGAATTTTGGAGCTTCGACGAGACGGAGGTTTTTTCCCCGACGTCGGCCTGTTAGCTTAGCTTGTAGCTTAGCTTCTCAGCTTAGCTGCTTTTAACGATCCAAAAACTCGATTTTGGACGGTTACAACAGATTTAAAGAGAAAGGAGGGGTCAGTGAAGAGCACCGGAGTTGAGCCTTTTGTCATCCAGTGTCTTCAGTAGAAAGAGAGAGACACGAAGAAACGATAAAGCCGATAAATGAAAATGAGGTTGATAATTTTCATTTATCATGCGATTAATTGATTTATTATTTATCATGACAGGCCTAGTTATTTGTCATTGGACTAAACACAATTTTTCTAATGTTACTAAACTAAGTTAATCAAATCACAGTTACTCATTTTGTGTTAGGCTGCAGTGTTAAAACATTACAAATAACTCAGTTTGGCACTGGAAACTCTGATTATGTGTAGCACAAATTATTAAAAAAATGTGCCAAACATCTTACATATTTTAGTAATATAATATATTTGATACATTTGGTCTAAGAGTGCTGTGTATGATAGACCTTTTCAGACATTTTCATAAAAATAATCTAAATCATGCAATGATATCTCGAAGTTATGATACCATTTACCGGTAAAATAATTGAAACTTAGCAGCTCAATATAAAAGTCTGTTGGAGTCAGCCTCCCCACCATCACTGACATTTACACATCAAGAAGAAGGAAGAGGGCCACCTGCATCATGAAGGACCCCACTCACCCAGCACACACAACCTCTGCTCCGCTCCCCCCAGGAAGGAGGTTAAGGAGCATTAAGTGTAGAACCACTAGACTGAGGAACAGCTTCTACCCTGAGGCTGTTAGACTTATGAATCTCTAACCAGAATAATCACTGTGAATAAATGTTGCTGCTGATCTGTTTCATATTGCTGTGTTCATGCATGCTCATCTGCTCACACAGACTCATGTTTGTGCTGTTGTTTGACGTATTTTTATTGCTTTTATGCTATTAGTGCTTACAGTATTTTTAGTTGATGTTTTTCTTAGTTCATGTCTTAGATCTTATTGCTGTTTTTCTTTTACTTTTTATTGTTGGATGTAACTGGGAACCTGCGTACATAATTTCGTTCCACCACATGTACCACATGAGATGCGAATGACAATAAAGAAACTCTGACTCTGACTGACTAATGACATAGCATTTTGAAATTATGAAATGTTATCTTAAAAATATGGCTTAGTCATAATTTCAAGATCTAATTTTTAGAGATGCGTGTTTTTTTTTTTTTGTTTTTTTTTTTTTCCGGTTCAGTCGCCGACTGTTAAAGGATGCAAAGTGACTTATCTTGCTTGAACAAATGCTCTTTGATATTCCTGCTCTGGTCTCGCGGCATCTGTGAGAACGCGCCAAAACGAGAAAACACAAATCCCGTCGGTCTTCGCGTACAGAACCAAACCGACGTTCACGATTAAAATATATATATTAAATGTGGTTTTATTTGTTTAAGTTTAGGCGTTGAATGGATTTTTAACATTTCTACCGCAGCCTTTTAGCCTGAAATCTTTTTAAGAAGATGGTTTTGCAAAACAGCGGACGGTTCAGGGCGGACAGAGGCCAAAGTGGAGCAGATCAGGAGAACCAGTAAGTTTGTAATGGTGCTTTGTGTGACGTGGGTTACAATAAACTAACAGATGCTGTGATGTAAATCAGGGATGACGGCTCCTCCATGTCGGCCGTCAAGCGGCTGGAGCGCAGCCAGTTCACCGACGACATGGACGCGCGCTTCGGCTTCGACAGGATGAAGGAGCCCGGGGAGAGGACGGGCTGGCTCATCAACATGCACCCTGTGAGCCCACAGTGGATCAGTCATCACATGGGGGGGTGAGAAACACGCTTTAATGTTGTGTTGTTGCAGACAGAGATCCTGGATGAAGACAAGAGGATGATCAGTGCTGTGGATTATTACTTCATCCAGGAGGATGGGAGCAGATTCAAGGTGTGCTCACTTCACGTCACACATCTGGATGTTTACAGCTGTTAATTCCAATCCTTGTGCTCTGTAGGTGGCTCTTCCCTTCAAGCCTTATTTCTACGTTGCTACTAAAAAGGTGAGCTTTATTGTTATTTCGTTTTGTTTCCCGCCTACAAGTAGTCAGGCTTGGTAATCACTCGCATCCGCTGTTGCCAGAACTGCGAGCGAGAGGTCGTGTCATATCTATCGAGGAAGTTCCAAGGAAAAGTGGCAAAGCTTGAAAATCTTCCAAAGGAGGATCTGGATCTGGTGAGTGCGTTATTGACGACCTCCAAAACGGTCTCTTGCTGGTTGTGTGACGTTTAAACGCGACTCCCTGCAGCCGAACCATCTGGTTGGCCTGAAGAGAAGCTACATCAAGCTGTCCTTCAACACCGTGGACGATCTCGTCAAAGTCAAGCGTGAGATTGCGCCGGCCGTGCGCAAAAACAAGGAGCGGGAGCAGTCCAACGACGCCTACACGTCCATGCTGTCGAGGTAGCAGCGATGCGTCCGTCCCGTCAGGTCCCTGAAGGCCTCGTGCTGTCACATGCAGCTGTTGGTGATGTTTCTGTGGCTTTGTTTTAGCGCTCTGTCGGGAGGCGGCGTGACCTCGGCAGGCGACGACGGGACGTCCAAGAGCATCGCAGATCAGCTGGACAACATCGTGGACATGAGAGAGTACGACGTGCCGTACCACGTCCGACTGTCCATCGACCTCAAGATCCATGTGGTACGAGCGTTTTCCTTTTTTGTTTACTTCATTTAAACGATGGGATGTTTCCACACATGCTGCTATAATATGGATCTTCTCCGTTGCGTCAGGCTCACTGGTACAACGTTCGATACCGAGGCAGCACGTATCCACCAGAGATCGTGCGCAGGGATGACCTTGTGGAGCGACCGGTTCGTATACATTTAGATTAGCTGAAATTAAGATCTGTCATATGGTTTACAGCATGCCACGTGTAGCCGAGACTCCTCCCCCAAACTGATCCACCACGCTCTGATTTTAAAATGTTCACGTTAAACTATTGGACCATATCTCATAAACACTGGGCGGGTTTTAATGCAACTTTTTTCAGAAGACAACCATTCGTTGTATTTATACAACGGCTTTGAAGTCGCACCAGTTTAAGATGGCCGCCACAGCTGAACCATCGTTGGCGAACACAGAAATGGCTCTAACTCCGTGAACGTTACAGATGCTGAGCTGACATCTGGTTTGGTTGTTGTGCAAGATTTATATATATTAAAAAAAAAAAATAGCCATTAACTATTGGAATCAACTGTGTCTGTCTGTTAGCAAAATATCTCATGAACCAATGGATGAATCCTAATGAAGTTCTCAGAAGTTAATCTCTGCCTGTACATCTACGAATGCTTAACATTTGGAGTCAACCCAATTCAAGATGGCTGCTACAGCTAACTGATATGAGCAAACACAAAGTCGCCTATAGCTCGGTCAGTTTTACAGATACTGAGCTAAATTTTGTGTTGTAGCTGGGAGCCATCCCTACGCTATACTGTGAATACTAATGTGTTGCAAAATCTCTCAATAAAGCATGAGATCACATCTTTTGCAAGGTTCGACCAAACTAATGCCAGGCCTTTAACCATTCACACTCTGTCTTGTTTTTTTAGGACCCCGTCGTTTTGGCTTTTGACATCGAGACGACCAAACTTCCCCTGAAATTCCCTGATGCGGAGACGGATCAGATCATGATGATCTCCTACATGATCGACGGACAGGTGCGCTCCATGTGCAAGGCGCTCGTCGTCCTGCTGTCGTCTGTGCCAGCTTCACAGCTCTTCGTTTGTTTCTTCAGGGCTTTTTAATCACCAACAGAGAGATCGTCTCCGAGAGCATCGAGGATTTTGAGTTCACGCCCAAGCCTGAATACGAAGGGCCTTTTACCGTTTTTAACGAGGACGACGAGGTTTGCAGCTCTGCAGCAGCGTGTGTGTGTGTGTGTGCGTGTGTCCTAACACGCTTGGTGTGATAATGTGCTGCTGGATGACTCTGGTTGCAGGCGGCCCTCATTCAGAGGTGGTTTGACCACGTGCAGGAAACAAGGCCCAATATCTTTGTGACCTACAATGGAGACTTCTTTGACTGGTGAGCTCTCTGTCTAAAACTCCAGGCTCCATTCTTTAACGTGATCCTTTAAAGAATCGCTTTTATTTAGTGATACTGTTTTGATTTTCTTTAGGCCTTTTGTGGAAACGCGGGCAGCCCTCCATGGGCTGAGCATGCACAGGGAAATCGGTTTCCAAAAGGACAGCCAGGGGGAGTACAAGTCTAGTCAGGCCATCCATATGGACTGCCTGAGGTGGGCACAGCTCGCCCTCTTTCAACGATAAATGGCTGCTTAGATAGATGAAGATCTAACGTGATCTCTTCCACTGGTTTCTTTGCATCAGGTGGGTGAAAAGGGACAGCTACCTGCCTGTGGGAAGTCACAATCTGAAGGCAGCAGCCAAGGCTAAACTGGGCTACGACCCGGTGGAGCTGGACCCTGAGGAGATGTGCCGCATGGCAACTGAAGAACCACAGGTCCAGAAAGAGAATTTCACTTTTACATCACAGTGGGGGGAGAAAAAAAACTATACCTCAAAGGAAAGTTGCATTTTCTTTAACATTCTTTTAAAATTTCTTTCTTTTCCTCAGACCTTAGCCACCTACTCTGTGTCAGACGCCGTGGCCACGTATTACCTGTACATGAAATATGTTCACCCCTTCATCTTCGCGCTGTGCACCATCATCCCCATGGAGCCCGATGAGGTTTGTTTCAGGCCTTTGCTTTAACAGACTTGCACCTAAAATAAAGTATTTGTTTTTTTTTAATAGTGTGAATGCTTATTAGGCACTATTGTGATCCTGTTTATATTTATTCTTCTGGTTCTTTCAACTATTCCGTACGTTTTTCAGCGTCTTTCTCGTTCCACAATTTTTGCGCTATTTCAACAAATCGTATCAAAACGTTCAGCTCGTTTAGGAAAATCTTGCTTTAACTTGGTATTGGTTCAACTTTAGCTTTTTGAAATATTTGGCCTTTTCTGCAATTTTTTTTCTCAAAAAATGAATTGAGTTCATTGTACATCCTTCAGAACTTTACATCTGTTTACAACCTTTTACTGCTCCTTTCACATTTTGTTCTGGTTCGGCTTCTTTCAGTTTCCTTCTGCAAATAAAAAAACAGCTAATTTCAGCTGTTTTTTTCAGCTGCTTTGTGCATTTTGCTAACTGCATTTTTGTGCTTCTTCTAACTTCTTACTGCTAATTTCAGCTTGTTATGCTCCTTTCAGCTTAATTCTGCTAGCTTCAGCTTTTTCTGCTATTTCAGCTACTATTTAGCTTTCTTTTTTTTGCTAATTTGAGCTTTTCCAGCTAATTCCACATTTTTTGCACTCCTT